TAATCACATTTATTATTCTACCAGAAAAAATATTTATAAATGAGAGAAATGCCAAGTATAAATTCCGGTTCTAATATTTTTAAATAAAATGTACAAGAATTTTAATACATAAATATGATCGATAATTTCGTGAAACTTTTGGACCTTGGATTTCCAGATCTCAAGTTAGCGAAAAATCCGGAAATCCGGATTTTTTCCAGAGCACAATCATCTCTGATTTATTCTATTTTAGCTCGCTTAAGCTATACTCTTTTCTTTCATTATGTTTTTAGTCACATGATCCATTTTTATAAAGTTAAAGATCATTGCACGGGATTCACGAAAATTTTTAATAAATTGTTTAACCTTAAGGTTAAAAGAAAGTCAATGTTTAGAAAGTTAAAATATTCAATAACGATACACTGCTGAAAATTTTGCTACAATCGAAATATAATGCCAAACTGGACCATATTATCATGCTAATCAATTTTAACCATCTTAAACTTGATTTTACAATATTTCAACTTGTATGGAAACATGGTTGAGTTTAACGCGGTCAGGTAAGAGAGGGCTGGGATTAAACTAGCAGAATTACTAATGACTTAGTTAAAGATGTGATTTAGTGCAATTCGAAAATCGAAAAAAAAAATTCAGTTATTAAACTGCATTTTTAAGTACACCCAAAAAGAAATTGCTAACTCTTGAAACAAAAGCTCGTTTCGTTCTGTTCTAAAATAAATTAAAACTAAAACTAAAATTCACACGTGACGTTTTAGTTATTGGCGTTGCATGTTTCATTATTTTCATATTTTTGTCAGCCTCGATAAATTTTATTCTTAACAGTCCTAACATGTCGCCGCTAGGAGAAAAATTTGCTTCCTTTGCATGGCAAAATTTTCTTCCAATAGAGCGAAATAAAATTTAGTTAAAACAGATAAAATTTTCATTTAGACATCATATGCCTTAAATAAATCAAAGTTTCTAAGTATGGATAATTGGATACAAGAAGAAGATCACAAATACCCATACATGTGACCTATGACATCAGAGTCAGATGATCACTTATAAGCTAAATGGCGTGTTGAAATTGAGCTAAGTTCCTCCATATGAGCTAGAATTTTAATTAACTTGAAGTTAGTTAATTACAGAACCATATCGCACATCAAATTCATCACATTTGTTGAAATTGTTGAATTCTTTCTTGTCTACTTAGATTAATTATTTATGTCTTTTATTATAACCGTTATATATTTTTGCTTTGTGTACTTGGCAACTTCGATACGTAATTAGTTCTACATGGCTTCATGCCTGTTTTTGTGTTAAGTAAGAAATATATAGTGAAAGAATTGAAACCTTTGTGAAAGAATACAGAATGAGTCATGTAAGAGTTAATACTTGACGGATTTGGCTTACTCGAAACAGAATGGAAAGAACAGTTGCTAACGTAAGCTAAGGCTCCTATACTATTCAGGGGCTAATTCTAACTTAGGCAAATGTCGTGTTTCAACAACCAATCAGGATCGAGATACCCACACTACGTCATTTGCAGGCATCCCATTCTTTTCTCAAATATATAAACAAGACACTAAACAATCAAATTCCATTTCTACATTATTTCGTAACTAAAGCATAGATGCAATGACTATAAGTTGACTGAAATATTTTTTAAAAACTTTCTGGATAATTTATTTTTATCATTATATTCTTTACTTCTGCAATATATTACTTTTATTAATTTTTTTCTGCACTTCAACGTCGTAACGACGAACTTTCGAGTGGAAACAATCAAACAATATTAGTGTTATTAGATCTTAATTTTTTAACTACTACGTTTCACTATAAATTCATGTTTTAAACTCTAATAAATTTAAATAAAATTACAACTAGCATGCAAGAAAAACTTTCAAAACAATAAAAAGTTACGCCACTGACATATAAAGTACCGAAGATAAATTCAGAATAAAATGGAAAGATATTTTAACTATCATCTTCATTAACTTAAGAATTTTAATGAGCATTTTTTTTTTGGAAAATAAAAAAGGCACTTAATAAACATTTTTATTTATTAAAACGCATTTAAAATACACCTAAAATCAATTTCAATCTCTTCAAACAAAAACCTGTCTCCTTTTGTTTTAAAATAAATTAAAAATAAAATTCATAAGCGACGTTTTTGATCTTGGCGTTGTATGTTTTATTATTTCATAACTTTTCTTGCTTTTACTAGTCTCGCTAAAATTATCTTAAAATTCCTGACAGACACCTTAATAAGAACCCATTGCATCATATTATGGTTCAATGTACCATTATGATGGTTGTTTCAGTGACGAAGCGTTGTTTCTAAAAGTGTACTCATTTTATCTTAGTTCATTCATATTCTTTGAACTCATATGTTTTTAGTCATATGATATATTTTTATGAAGCTAAAGATCATTCCTCAGAATTCACATTAAGTCAATAAATTGTTTAACCTCAGGTTTAAAAGAAGTCAATATTTAGAAGATTAAAATAGGCACTAATGTTACACTGTTGAAATTTTTGCTACAATCTTAATATGCTGCCAAATTAAACATATTATTATGCTAATTAAACTATCTTAAACTTGATTTCACAGTATTCCAACAAGCATGGAAACATGGCTTAGTTTTACAAGTTAATAAGATTTCAGAAAATTTGAAAGATATATTTGAACGATTTGTCAACAAGTAAAACAATGCCAGGTTTTGATTTACACTGATCACCGGCTATCAATAACACACATACGAAAACCGAATATAACAATATCGTGAATATTATACATGGCAATATTTATTCAATAAGTTATTATTGGGAATGTTGCTAAAGTTTATTTGGGAAACAAAAATATTGACACGCATGTAGAAATTAGATTAATTTGGAAAATATCGTGATATTAAAGTTTGTACTCATTAGTCATGGGGACTCATTAGTCAATGTTTAAGTGAGTGATAACTCGAAAAATGAATTGCCAACCCATGGTCCTTATAACCGATAATTAAATGATGTGTGGGTGGAAGCCAATAGCGGATAGATACCCTAAACGTAAATAAATTTTGTATTTGGGTACATACATTTTAGACTTAGATCAGTCAAGTCTCACCTCTTAGGTCTCAATATTAAAAAAAAAAGAAATGTTATTAATAGCAAAATTCTTCGATCGAGGCTATTGTTGATGCTGTCATAAGCCATTAAGGCAAGGGGGCGGGGGAGATTCTACGGCCAGGAATTCGACTTCTGCCACACCCATACGTCACACTCGCTTATGGGGCGGACCCATTCATTCATCCACTGATTGAAATTTTGACCTGAATCATAGAACGATCAATCTCCAATTCAGTTCCCCCAGAGGTATAATTTGTTATGGGGATACGGAGGACTTTGTGCACCGACAGATTTAACGTGCACCAGTCACCATTTACTTTACCACCTGGATTCGAACTCCCGTTCTTACGAACGTGAGTAAAGCGTCCTACCAACCGGGCTATCCCGGCCTATCGCTGAGGTTTAAAAATGTAAAATAAAATTGGTTGGCAAGCTAAAGTCCAATTTAATTATCAATTAAACGTGTTAAATAAAGCTAAGACTGGTTTTTTAATTTTTAAGCGTTATGGTTATGTTTTCTTTTAATTCCTGAACGGAGACATTAAACTAAATTATTTTTCTGAAGTTATTTTTTGCTTTAAAATATATTGTTTTCTGTTTTATATCTGAGTACTCCTTTTAGTTTAAGAAATTTATAACAGTTAAAAATCGCTTCGTGGTATCGAAAAAAACCCTTACAAATGAAATTCATCAACTTGCACAATTAATAATAGCAAATAAGTGCAACGTTTGATTTTGACACGTTGCAAATTTGATTTATTATTCATCAAAGGCGCCGTTGAGATAATTAGCATATTTCTTTTATATGTTAGCATATGTAGTATTGAACATTTAGATAAAAAAATTCACCATGATGTCTCTGATATCGAACATGTCAGAGACAAAAATTAAATTCGCTCTTTCTTGAGCAGTCTAAATTTATTATATTGTTATATTGTCTTGATTTATTATATTTTTACACATTGCTTTGATTTTTGACTGTACGATTTTAAAAATCTCGAAATAGTTGAAATTTTACTTATTTAAGAAGCTAGATCAGCTGGTTGTCGTAAGCGGTTAGTATATAATAAAATATAAATAACAATCACTAATGAGGGGTTAATCTAATCTTGTAAAAGATCCCATATTTGTGAATTTGAGAAATTAGGATCCAGTCTTTGACATTTTGAGAAAAATCACAAAAATAATTTTTAATTCTCTGAAAATACACATGATTGTCTGAATTTAAAATTAAGAATCAATGATGCTGTTCCTGTGAAAATTAAGTCCTATTTTTGTGATAAAAAAGATGAAAAATAATGTCATTGTAGCTTTAGAAACTATGAATTAATACCGTTTTTCCGGGGAAGGAGGGGGTTTTGTGAAAAGGCTATTTTCAAAACGAAACAAATTGTGTAGGGTCCATTTTTAAGAAACGATATTTTGTGTTTCGTTTCTACGGTAAAATAATCAGTAAAAGGTCTATCTTTACGGTTAAAAAAATTGTGACGAGTCAGTTAATGCAGTGCTTCCCAACTTTTTTACCACATTGTTCTGGTATATGTTTGATAATTTTACTATCCGCTGAGGGAGGGGGATTTAATTGCTTATATTTTAGATTTTGTTAATAGTTTTAATTTAAATGTATTTAAACATGCCTTCAAAATAAAATACAATCACATGCGTGGTATTTGGGTATTGCTGAGGTTTAAGGTGACATTTCTCAAGTCCCAGTTAAAATCACGTCCAAAAACAGCCGTACAAACCCGAGAGAAATAAAATGGAAATAATTTAAAGTTTCTTGGGGGGTCCGGTACCGTATCTACGGCTTGGTAGGTGACCACTGCGGTAATGGACTGAAATTTCTATTCAATATACCCTTGATAACATACAATAAATATATTTTTAAAATGTTTTCTTACCTGACAAACATAATTACTCCAGTTGGTTCCATTGCTCGAGCTATTCCTTTCCATGACTTAGAAATGTTGAAAAGTTGTTTTGCTGTGAGGGGAAGACGAGGATCAGGGGCCGGAGGAGTTGGTGGATCTTCCAGGGGCGCCGGAATTTCTGCCGCCCCAGCTTCAGGTTCCCCCTTCTTCTGTAGGACGGCAAGGACTTTGCTCAAATTGACTCCCATACCGAGAATAGCTTCTGCTTCTTTTTGACAACACTCACTGTTTTCAAGCGGTTGTGGAGAGGGCGCGTCGTATGAGTGCGCAGGCGCCCCACCTTCAGATAAGTTTCTTAATTCTATGAATGAAAAGGATAAAAAGTGAATGAGAATGTAAAGAACATCAAAAGAAGGACGGAAAAATCTATAAAAAAGTTGTTTTGGATAGTTTTCTCCGAAATATTTGCGAATGGAATTTTTTAAATAGTTAAATAATAACATTCAGCTCATTTTTGTTTTAAAAGCATCTTACAATTAAGTAACTTAACTTAAGAAAAAACAATAAAAGCGTTATTTATTTTTCATGGCACGGAAATTTGTTTAAGAAGTTTCACTATTATAGCGTAAATTGCATTCAAAGATTTACATTAAATTAATTTTAAAATGTTAAATATATTGTATATATATATACACGGGTGATTTTTTTGAAATTGATAACTTAGAGAGAGAGTTAAATATTTATCGTCTGTTTAAGATTGTTGAGTGGGTGAAAATATTCAATTTTAACAAAAGTCTTTTTCTTCATATGCCTTTTTTAAATCTCATTAAATTGAGCATGAGGAGTGTTATGATTTCTAATCAGTTTACTCATATAAAATAAATTTAGTAATTTTTAGCAATTACGTACTTTAAATGCCTTTTCAGAAGAACGTTGATTTTAAGGAAACCTCTTCACACTTACACATATTACAAAAATAGTTCATTATTGAATTCTTTGAAACTTCATATGTCGATTTTGTAGAGACATTGTAAAACACATTTCTCATCAAATTTCGGTATAAAGTACCGGCACTTAGGGTGCATCATCCATATTATCCATTTTAACGTAAAATCCATTTTTACTATATACCGAATATATTATATTATATATTAAATATAGTATAATATATTCGATTAATATATTATACCGAAATTTTTAGAGTAATATTTATTCCGTTAGAGTGATTCAGTGATTTTATGGTAATTACTGTATATAGTATCAGATTCTTGGTTCCGTAACATGTTTCGGTAAAAATGGATTTTTTTACAATCAAATTTTAGCTATGTTTTAATGTATGAATCTATTATTTTATCACGAATGTTTAGAGACAGAATGTTAGACAGAATGTTTAGAGTTTTTTTTAAAAATCAATATTGAACAACATATTTTGTACTATGTCCTTGCATATTTAAATCTTTTAAGGAATTTAATTTAAAACACAGGCGAACACATAATTAATCGAGGAAAAAATTATTTTTATATTTACGCATCACAGTTTGTTTCAGAGCCCTTATTATGAAAAACTATTTAACACATTTTTAAAGTTTATTTTAGATTTATACTTTTAGGACTGCTGCTTACCAAAACTAAAATTGCAATTTTAATAAAGGCTGTATTAAAGAAATTAAGACAGCTCAGTCAAATATCTTAAATACCGTAAAAAAATTAATATTAGATACGAATATTAATTTTTTAGATAAACGAATGATAATACGAAATAGTTCTTGATGAAACCGTTTCCTGCTGTATGCTCCGAGCAAACATTTCGTCAAAAAGACAAAATAACTATCTTCACTTCTTCAAGGAAACGAATTTCGTCAAAATTAAAGAAATATTTCGTTGTTCCGTTTTTGCCCCCCCCCAAATCCTCGTAGTACTTAATGTACTAATTTTTTTAATAATTGCTTTTTCGTGAGACACCACCATATAGGTGGACTAGTATCACACCAACACAAAAAGAACAGATGAAACAGAGAAATAAATTACACCCATGCCGGACCAGGATTCGAACCTGGAATCGTCCAGGCCATTTGGTCCCGTTAATTTCGATCGCCTGGTCTTAATTTTAGTTTCGCTATTCTATTTAACAATCTCTCACAATACACTTCGATGCAGATTCTAGTTGAGGAACCTGGATATAAAGATATTGAAATCGGTTTTAGCAATTAGGCATGTTTCCAATTTTATATTGAATTTAATTAGCTTGTTTCTGAGATCAAACTATGTCGAAAAATATAAATTTAGGAATCTAAAGTTTTAAATTTCTTAAAACGAATTGCAGTAATTAATTTCGTATCTATTATATGATATTGAATCGATAGCAGTGATCTTTTCTCAGTAATAAAGTAAAAAGTAGCTAATCAATAATAAATTTTGGATTTGTTTGTCATGACTTAGTAGGTTGTCTGGACTTGTTAGGACTGTTTTTAGAAAATTACATAATATTTCACAACTATCTCTTCTTACCTTACACTGTAAGAAATCTTGGATCAAATTATGGTAAAAAATACCGGCACTCAGTTTGCCGGTACATTTTACCGTAAAATCCAATTTTAACAGAGCATGTTATGAAACAAAAAAATATGATATACCTTAATTTTTGCAGTAATTACCGAAATCATTGAATCACTTTAACTAAATAAATATTACTGAAAACCTTATGGTTTAGTATTTTATATTAAAAATGGATTTTACTGATGATGCACCAAAAGTACCGGTACATTGTACAGTAATCTAATCCGGAACTTTTAACAGTGTGTTTTAAAACAAGTATATGAAGGTACGCAGGAGAATTATATATAGCAGAATTAATTTCACTGAAAAATATTATGGGAAGAAATGCTTGTTCTGATATATAAACCAGCAATTATTTTGTCTCCTGAGTTGGGCAAATTACAAGATTATAAAGATTTTACAACATATAAATATTGTACAGCCTCTTTATAGGCTATTTTTGAGTTTGGCTATTTCAATAATATACCAGCTCAGGTCTTGACCATTTCTCCTGTTTCAGATAAAAATATGGGTTGGGTTGAGTAAAGATAGTGTAAATATCCCTTTTGAATCTCCTATTATTATTAAAGTGTTTATTTTAATTTAAAGATACGAAATTTGTTTGTGCTAATTAAAGACAAAAGACAAATTTTTTTCTTCTACTTCAAAACTACTTGCCACTTTGATTACTTTATGTATGAGTTTAAAATTAATCTCTAAACATCATTTTTATTACTACTTACAATAAAAGAATAGCATTTTTCGAATTTACGCCCAACTAATTAAAATGATTAAATGTATTTTACAGCTTTGATTCCTTTTTATATCTCTTAATGTTTTATTCTGATCAGTAAGACATGTTTCGAAAGTGAAAAAAAAGTTTGCTAAGATTATTTTTGTAGTTTGGTATGACAAAAAAGTAATTTAGTAAATTAAAGTTAAGTAATGGAAAAAAAGACTTGAATAAATTAGTCAGTCCCACGGAAAAAAAATAAGAAAATGTAGAAAGAGATTTATTTTTGTGGTATGAGATTACAGAATATTTAAAGTACTTTTCTAAAGGAAAGTTTTTGAAACCAACACACCATAAAAAGTTTCTTTCGATTTTGCCGTCTTATACACATTTCTTTACCGAAAATAATATTTATTTATTATTAAAGTTAATCCTTGAAATTTATAAAATCATTAAATCTTTTTTAAATAACTCTAACCTAGAAGTTTTAAAAAATAAAAATAAAATTTTTTGCTCTGATTAATGATAGTTAATATCATTTAAAGTCTTAATCAGAGACTAACTGTGCATAAATTAATTGAGTAATTTTTGTAAAGAAATATTGATTTTATATTTTATTTTATAATAAGGAAAATAAAGTAAGAGATTCATTCTACCAATTTGGAAGATTATTCAAGAAAAAAAAGCATGGTCAATATATGGTAAATTTTGGCTCAATGGAAACACTTATAAGCTTGGTAATTTTTACCGAAGTGCTTGGTAGTGATTTTAATGAAATTAGCAATAAAATACGATTTTAAAACATGTGATAAAATTTGGTAATTGTGGTAAAATTTGGGAATTTTATCATGATACCTTAGTGCATTGTATAAAACCATATATTCGGTTAAATAAATTTTTCGGTTTTGCAACTTTTACTAAATGTGGGGTAATAAGAATTATAATTTTGAAACCTAGAATTTCCGGTAAACACAATTAACCGGAACGGAAACATAATTAAACGAATGATTTAAATACCGTATATTTTAGCTTTTATTACCAGAATTAAAGTTTTCTTACCAGATATGTAAAAACACTGTAAAAGGGGGGCCGATATATATAAATATACGAGGGACAAGCATAATGGTCACAAGAAAGCATTTTTTAATCCATACAAGCTTAAAAAGAATTGAAATTGAATTACGGAAAAAAGTGAAATATTAAGTATTGAAATGTATCATTTTTAAATTGTATAATTTAGAATAAACAAATTTTCAAAAAAAAAAAAAAAAACATAAATCGGTTTAATAGTTTTAGAGAAGAGTAACTTAAAAGAAGTTAATTATTTTCAATAAAAAAAGTAGCTCCCGAGTTTTTAGATTATCCGAAAGTTATATTTTAAAAAGTAAAAGAAAGTATTTAAGTAAAATGTTGAATTATCATCTGAGGAAACAAATTTAAAATTAGGTGAAAAAAGTTTTTTGTTTGGTATAGAAGTTGAAATCTATCTAAAATACTGCATCAAGACTACATATTTTCTGCTGGTTTGTGAAATATAAACAAACAAATCTTATTAATTAAATTATTACCATTTTTTTATTAAACGATGAACAATTTTATTTTGAAAATTGAAATCGCAAAAAAAGGAGGACATTTAATTAGTTGAATATCAGAATATGTATAAATGTTTACATTATCAAAAAGCTATAATCAATATCTGAGATTTTCATCGCGATTTGGACATAGATTATTTTGCACAGACATTGATGTAAATAGTTAAGGCACCTAACGTAAGTTGTTCGACAAGGGCTAAGATTTTACTGCTACGCATGTCACAGTTACTTTCCGCTTTAGGATCCGCATCCACATTTGGTTCTGGATTCGCTTATTTAGTTCCGGATTCGCTTATTTAGTTCCGGATTCGCGCATTTAGTTCCGGAGATAAGACAAGAAACATCAAGAGTAAATAAAATAAAGGCTAAAACTCATTTAGTTAGTTGTACTACATTTTCCTAATTACTGCTATCTCCCATATTTGAGGTTAAGGAATCCGAATCGATCTAAAAAAAATTCTGAACACATAATGAGAAAGCGAATCATTATTTACAAAGAAG